TGTCTGTCAAAGTAACTTATGTCAACTTAATTTTGTAGCATAGACACGGCCTCAGTGTCTGCTCACAGGGTTGCTACAGAACCCCTTTTTAAATGACCAGGGAACCACTCCCCACCTCTGCTCTTAAAACAATAGCTTGCAACTCCAAGAATCCTCACAACACCACAGGTGCCTGCCTCAATACACACAAAATGGCCAGAAGAGGAGGTGGCAGTGCCCACCATGTAAGATTTAGCCCAGTGGTCAGAGCCCTCAGCTAGAATGTAGAAGACCAATGGTTCAATTTCTCTCACTGCTGAAGGGGAGAAAGGATTTGAATAGGGGTTTCCTATAGGGGTTTCCCATTGTCCAGGTTTCCCATTGTCCAGGTGTGTGATCTAAGCACCAGGTAATAGAGCAATTGTCGTTCTCTCTTTCTCTTCCCCAATGACTCTTCAATCATTTATCCAAAGTGGAACAGCTTCAACAGGAGAGGCTGAGGGATCCCCACATCAGAATATCCCATAGCCCTGTGGTTAGGGCATGCTCTCAAGAGGTGGGAGGCCCCTGTCCAATTCCTTTTTCCCCAGAGGGCAGATGGGGGGTATTGAATGCAGATCTCCCACATACTGGGTGAAGGCTCTAACCACTGAACCGAAAACTATAATGAGGGCACCTTCACTACTGTTTTCTCCTTGATGTTAATGGCACCTGGTGCAGCAAGGGTGCTCAGAGCATGCCTACGAAATCAACCCTCACAGGGATTATAGGCAGGGGAGTCATGCCTGTCTTCCCCTGGTTTGTGGCTCATGCTGGTGTTTACATGGGAGAGACGCTTCCAGATGAGGCATCAGTACAACCTAATATTGGAATTTAGGGGCCTAAATATGGGGTTTAGACACTCAAGTACCTGTAAAAAGATCAGGAGTACCTGTGGCACCTTAGAGACTAACAAATTTATTTGAGCATAAGCTCTCATGGGCTAAAACCCACTTCATCAGATGCATGCAGTGGAAAATACAGTAGGAATATATATATATATATACAGAGAACATGAAACAATGGGTGTTACCATACACACTATAACGAGAGTGATCAGTTAAGGTGAGCTATTATCAGTAGGAGAGAAAAAGAACTGTTTGTAGTGGTAATGAAAATGGCCCATTTCCAGCAATTGACAAGAAGATATAAGGAACTGTGGGGGGGAGGGGAGGGAAATAAGCATGGGGAAATAGTTTTACTTTGTGTA